AAATGACAGCGAACACCAGCATCTCTTGAATGAGTGCAGTCAGAAGTTATTGAGTCATAAGTACAGTCAATGAGTCTTGCTTCATTGCCAGAACACTGAACATCATCCATGAATATCTTACCAACTCCAGAACCGAAATTATTATTAGTAAAAGCAACAGAATCTATTATTAATACAGCACAATAGAAATAATTATATAAAATCATATTCATCATTACTATTTTCAGAGTATCCAAGTTGCTTGCATACAACACTGCTGTCAGGTGTACCCCAGTAATCATAGCACACAGTACCCCATTCATTGTTCATGCAAACTTCAACTCTTCCTTCATATGCTACAGAACCACCAACTAACCTCAACTGACCATTAGTACATGGAGCTACGTACAGTATTAAAGGAATAACTTAAATAGCTACAAGAAATTATTAACACAAACCTTGACAGGTGACTCCAGCATCTTCAGAATGACCACAGTTACTAGTACCCAGTATTGAACTAGGACAGTATATTAGTTTATTGTATGAAGAACTGCAAGCTACATCATCCATCCATATCTTACCACTACCAGCACCAAAATGAGCACTGGAATGAGCAATACCATCTAAAAAAGTATGCATAAATTTATAAAACTCTATGACAGCTTACATCCAGCATAAGAATATCCCAATTGTTTACACACAACAGTTGCATCAGTAGAACTAAAATAATCATCACAGACAGTACCCCATATTCCATTAATACATATTTCAACTCTTCCTTCATATTGATTAGATCCACCAACTAATCTAACATCACCATAAGTACAATTAACAGTTGAATTAACTATAGATAAAAATCATTATGAGCATGTGACTATAATTCACAGCTAACCAAGGCATCTTATACCAGCATCTTGACTGTGACTACAATAGCCTCCAGCAGAAGTCTTACTGCAGTTACTAAGTGCTAGTTCATTTCCAGTGCATGCAACATTGCGATACAGTATAGGGCCAGTACCAGAACCAAACTTAGCAGATGAATAGGCAATGGCTCCTAAAGAAGTAACAAAACTAAAACTAACTATATAGTTGTCAATTTTGCAAACCTTCTGTTAGATATCCCAATTGATGACAAGCTACTTGAGCATCAGTTGCTCCCCAAGAATTATGACAAATTGTTCCCCAATTATTATTCAAACAATATTCTACTCTTCCTTCCTGAGGAACATTAGTATTTCCTACTAGCCTGATCTGCCCATTAGTACATGGAGCTACAAATACAGAAATAAAAGCATAAGCACTTATATAACTTTATACCTTGACAGCTGACTCCAGCATCTTCAGAATGACCACAGTTACTAGTACCCAGTATTGAACTAGGACAGTATATTAGTTTAGTATATGAAGAACTGCAGGCTACATCATCCATCCATATCTTACCACTACCAGC